TGGGTATATACCCAGAAGTGGGATTTCTGGATCATATGGTAGTTCTATTTTTAATTTTTTGAGGATCTTCATACTGTTTTCCATAGGTGCTGTACTGTTTAAAATTCCCACCAACAGTTCAAAAGAGTTCCTTTTTCTCCACACCCTCACCATTTATCTCCTGTCTTTTTAATAATATCACCTCATAATCTATTAGGATGGCTATCTCATTGTGGTTTTGATTTGTTATTTCTTTGATGATTGGTAATGTTGAATACCTTTTCATATACATTGGCCCTTTGTATGTCTTCTTTGGAAAAATCTCTCTTCAAGTCTTGCTCATTTTTTAAATTGGGTAATTTTTTTGTTGTTGTTTTTGTTTTTGCTCGTGGGCTCTGTGAGTTCCTTATATATAATGAATATTAACCCTTTACCATTTTCTTCCATTCTGTAGGTTGCCTTTTCATTTTGTTGATTGTTCCCTTTGCTGTGAAGAAGTTTTTAGTTTGATGTAGTCCCACTTGTTTACTGGGTTTTTTTGCCTGTGCTTTCGGTGTCATATCCAAACAGTCACTGACAAGATAATGTTAAGGAGCTTTTCCATAAGGTTTCTTCTAGGAGTTTTATGGTTTTAGGTCTTAACATTTAAGTATTTAAGCCAGTTGGAGTTCATTTATGTGTATGGGGTAAGATAAGGATTCAGTTTCAGTCTGTTGCATGTGGATATCCAGTTTTCTCAACACCATTAATGGCTGAAACCATTTTTTCCCCATCCTGTAGTACTGGCATCCTTGTAAAAGAAATCTGGTTCTTTTTTTATATCTTTAGTTTCCTCATTTCATAATTTCCTTTAAATTTTTGAGTATATTTGTAGTAGTTATTTTAAGATTTGTCTGGTAATGTCATGATCTGCATCATTTTTGAGTCTCTTTTTGTTGACTGATTTTTCTTCTCATTATGGATTACATTTTCTTGCCTGTTCACATGCCACCTGTTTTTTAATTGGAGCTGGACATTGTGAATTTTACATTGTTAGGTGTTAGATTTGTTGTATTCTTAAGTGCTGGTACCTGTTCTTGTAGGCAGTTAATTATACATGGATCTGTTTGATCCTTCTGAGTCTTGCTTCACACTGTGTTGGGGTAGATCTATAAGACTAGGGTAGCCCCATTATTAAAGTGTGTCCACTCTGGGGTCTCTACTGAATGCCCTGGGTGTACAGTGAGCACCCTTTACTCTGGCTGATGGGTACCTGAATATCTCCCAACCCTGTGTCATCTCTGGAAACTACTGTAGCTCCCTGAATGTCCTTTGCCTGGCCTTGTGGAGCCTCACCTCATGTGTACGTGGATTAGTACTCAGCAGCAGACTCAAGGGGATCCCTATGCAGATTTCTGTAGCTCTTTCTTTGTGTAGCTCCCTCCTCTCCAGACTCTGCAATTTCTAGCTGTCTCAGCAATTTCTAGCTGCCTCAGCCTTCCTGATCTCACGTCTGTGTCACCTCAGTGCAGCGTGAGCATGGTGCTTTGCTTGAGATGCCTTCATAAGTAATTTCTTCTGCAATTGTGTTCTGATCTGTAGTATGTAGAGTGTGTATGTGTGTGTGCACATGTGTGTGTGTTACTCTTGTTAGACTGACATCTTTAGAATATTTACTTATTCAGAATTCATGGTAATTTTGAATTCCAACTAAACTGAGTAATTCATTTGCTTCTTTAAGTTTTTCTTTTCCTCTCCCAAAACCTGATTTTCCTGTGTCTTTTATAGCTGTGATCATTTCTTCTTTTGAACCTTCATAATCCTTCATAAGTGATTTCTTACAGTACTAGTATTGTGTTCTGATTTCTGTTATAGTAATTTGTGTATGTATGTGTGTGTGTTTCTTCTGTTAAAACTGTCAGCTTTAGAATATGCTGTTGAATTACCATGAATTCCGAATGAGTAAAATTTCAATCTGTGATGTTTTCGTAGCTGAGGTTCTCCTTTCCTATCACGGCTGCTCTGAGCATCACAATTTATGGGCAGACCAGAGCTTTTTATCTGTTTCTATACACAAATTCCAATTCAGAAGCCTTGGAAAGTTCTTCCCTCATTGTCTTTTAAAGGGGATGAGAAATAATATTCAGCTGACTTACATGTTCCAGGGCCTATAAGACATGCACTTTTCTTTTAATCCTCACAATAACACTGTGAGGTGAGAATGTTATTCCTTTTATAGAAACTCTGAAAGGATAACCAGATTATCAAAGATCATACCATGTAAAAGAACCCTCTGGAAAAATGTGTGTTTCAAGAGTACATATAATATAACCTTTAAGTTCAAGGATAATACATTCGAGATTAAGAAAAGCCAGTGAGTAACAGACAGATGGTAAGTCATTGAATCTATTGGAGATGATAAATGTAGAAATAAGTTACCTGAGGAATTAGTAAACAAAACAAAACAAAACACCACACCAGTGTCGTTTTTGCAGAAATCAAACTTTATCTGAAGGAAATTATTTGCAGATTACTTTTGGAAAACCACAATTGAGCATGTTCTAGGTAATTATCATAGATTTTTTCAATGAGTGTTTCTAAATATTGACACATTATGTGTGTTTTTGTTAGCAGTTGGTAGCAAGACCTTCCAGTATGAACTATATGGTGGCTCCTGTTACTGGTAATGATGTTGGAATTCGTAGAGCAGAAATTAAGCAAGGGATTTGTGAAGTCATTTTGTGTA